GGGGGGTCGGATAGGGGGCAGGGGCCGGGCCATGTCTGGCTGTTTGGGGAGGCACAGCCTCCCTTAACTGGCCCTCCATACAATTTTGGAAACCCGATGTGGCCCTCAGGCCAAAAAGTTTGCCCGCCCCTGACCTAGGGCTTTGGTTCCTGCGGGGGAGGCTGCACCTGTTGCTCTGATGGTCCCTGGGTCAAAGCCCCTTCTCAGGTCTGCAGCTGTGTGGAACCAAGAGGTGGGCCAGCCCCGGGCTCCGTAGGGAAGAACGAGGCGACGGTGTTTCCCTTCCCAGGAGGCGACTTGGGCCGCGTGAGCACGATGGGAAAGACAGAAAGCCGGAGCACGTGAGCTGGAGGCTGTGACCGAGGCAGGCGCCGGGAGCCATGCACGCACCTTGCGGTGGGACCTCGGGGAGGGCAGGAGGGACACCAGAGCCGCTCTCACTGCCTCTCTTCTTTCAGCTTGTGGGTGGGAGTGGAGGACGCCCAGATGACCACAGTCCCCATCTACCTGCAAGTCAATCCTCATATGACTTTGGCTTCTCTGAAGGACATGGTACGGGCCTGAGGGCTGGAGCCGGGGGCACTGATGGCATGAAGCGTGGGGTGAGACCCTGCGGCCTCGCAAAGGGCGCCCTGCAGGGCGTGAGCAAGGCAGCCCCACGTGTCACCACCTCCAGGCTACACAACGGAGCAGCAGAGTGAGCCTGGAGGCGGGTCCAGGCTTAGGCCGGGGGCTCCCGAGAGCAGGTGTGGACACCAGGGCCGGTGGTCTCTCTCCACATCCCAGTCCACGAGCTGCTAGTGCGGCCCTGCAGCCCTCTGCTCTCTTTGCCTCGAATGCTGCCAGCCGCCGCCGCGTGCCAGGCATTGGCTGGTGTGCACCGGGGTGTGTGTGATCACCGGCCTTGCAGGCGGCAGCCGCCTCGTGGGCTGCCAGCTGTCTGCGGTATCTGTCGTGTTACTGACACCCCCTGCCTGTCCTTCCTGGGCTGCCCTCTGCTCGCCTTGGTTCGTGCGGCGTGATCTGCTGGCACCTGTTGCCGGTGGGCGCCAGCGTAAGGTCACGGAGTGACTGCCCGCCACAGCACCCGGCGGTTCTGAATGAGGCCCTCGGTGTCTCTTCGTGTCTCCTGGCCCAGGTATTCCTCCACTACGGCTTCCCACCCAGTGTTCAGCAGTGGGTGGTGGGCAAGAGGCTCCCCGGAGACCAGGAGACCCTGCACTACAACGGCATCCAGCGAGATGGTGACATGGCCTATCTCTACCTCAGGTCTGCCAAAGAGGCCAAGCTCAGCAAAGAGACATTCCAGAGGGAGCGGCAGCGCCGAGTCCTGGCAGGTGAGGCTGGGGGAGCGGCTGAGGGGAGCCCCAAAGGCAGAGCCTGGCGCTGGGGAATTCCAGCGGGCAGGAAGCAGAGGGGACTGCTGGACTTGCGGCTGAGGATGGCTCCCCAGGGCAGAGGGCCAGCGCTGGTCTCAGGAGGAGACGTCCCTTGCGGGGCGACAGCAAGAAGCAGGCGCTGAAATCCGGGGCTGCACCGAGTGCTGGCTCTGGAGAGCCGGCCAGAGCGTGTGGGAGCAGCAGGGAGATCCGTCTCCTGGCAGCAACTTCCTCCCTCTCTCCTCCCTAGAACTGGGCTTCGGCGACATCAGCCTGCAGCCTCGTGGGAGCCAGGAACCAGCGGATGCGGGGCTCGGAGCCGGGGTGCAGGAGCAGGACAGCCTGTGCATGGAGGAGCTGAGGCATGAGCTCTCGCAGGTGGAAGCCGCCCTGCCCCCTGAACCCCCCAAGGTAAGAGAGCCCCAGATGCAGGGCGCCAACACCCCCCCCGCCCGGCTCGTTTCTTTCACCTCCCGTGTCCTCACCGTGTTCCTAGGTCGGCTGGGTCTGTCCGAGCTGCACCTACGTCAACAAGCCCACCCGCCCCGGCTGCGAGATCTGCTGCAAGGAGCGGCCCGAGGACTACGCGGTGCCCCCGGCTTACCAGCCGGACGAGGAGGAGCTGGCGAGGATGAGGAACGAGGAGGAAGCTATGAGGCAGTCCCTACAGGTTGGAGGCCGGGACGCTGGGGAGCCGCGGCTGCTCAGTGCTGCCACTGGCTGCCGGGGCAGATCCTGTCTTGTGCACTGTCGCCGTAAGCAACCGTTGTAATGCGGCTCCTGGTGCAGCACCCTGCCCTGGCTCCACTAGGCTGGTCCCTTGGGGCATCTCTTGGCACAGGGTTCCCTGCACAGAGACTGACCAGGAGGTGAGGATGGGGGGCACCGGTTCTTCCCTTCTTCCTCTAGGCCAGCTGCACGCCCGGCTGGCGCCGCTCAGCTGCACAGGACCCTGGGGCGCTCGTCAGGGGAGCTGCCCTCATGCTACACCGGTTCTCCCCGCGGCTCATGGGGCTTGTCTAACCTGTGGCAGGAGGACTCGGCAGCGCAGCGTTACACTGAGCTGGGAGGCACGGGGCGGCTAGCACCGGCCTCCGTCTGAGCTGGGCAGGGAGAGCCACGCTGGCTCGGGAGTGAGAGAGCGGGGCCTGCGAGGGGGGCCCGTCGCTCCCAGGCTGCTCCGGCGAGGCAGGGGCCCCAGGCAGGTCCAGCCGCTCACAGTGCCTCCTCTCCAGCAGCGGGGCCTGTAGCCAGGAGCGGCGCCAGGGTTTTTGGCGCCCTAGGCGGGGGTCCTTCCGTGCTCCCGGTCGTCGTCGGCAATTCTGCGGCGGGGGGTCCTTCTGTGCTCCCGGTCTTCGGGGCACTTCGGCGGCGGGTCCCGGAGCGAGTGAAGGACCCGCCGCAGATTGCCGCCGAAGACCCGGAGCGCGGAAGGACCCCCCGCCTCTGAATTGCCACCAATGCCGCCCCCCAAATCCTGGCACCCTAGGCCCTGCCTGTAGCCCAGACCTCGCCAGAGCTAGCAGCGGAGCCACGCTCTGCACCAGAGCCAGACGAGCCTCATTTCCGGGCTCTTTCCAGCCTCCACGCCATGCTGCTGAGGGGCCTGCCCCAGCTGGGCCCTGCTGCGGGGCAGGGAGGTGCAGCCCGCAGCGCCCAGCTGCAATGGAGCCGGAAGGCTGCAGCTGCGTGTTGCTCCTGGTTTTAAGGGAGCAGCGTGGGGCGCGGCGGGCTGGGCAAGCTCCCGTCACAGGGTGGGCACGCAAGGGAGAGCTGTGGGCGCCGGGTGATGGCAGAGGAGGCTGAGTCCCTTCTCCCTGTTTATTTGCATGAAGCTTTTGCAGTGACTCCAAAGGAGCAGGCCTGAGCGGGGGAAGGAGGGTCCAGGCCCTGTCACAGCCTCCCTGGGGGCAAGTCACTTATTGATTGGTTGAGGCGCCCAAATCGTTTGGGTGAGCTGGGCCTTAGTTCCCCTCTGGACAGCTCTGAAATCCATCGATGGCTGGAAGTCGCTGCTGGGATACTAATGACTTCCCCTCCCCCATCCCACTGGCCAGGCTGGGGTGGGGCACCTCGGGCACCATTTATCGGAGACAGGGAGGGAGGCTGAGAGGACACTGAAAACAAACCCTGGTTTGAGATAGGCTGGAGGAAGCAGTAGTCCCCCTGCCGCTGAATGGGGCTCCCCACCTAGCAGGGGAGCACTGGCTTATTGTGACTTTGTGCTCATAGCACCCAACTGTGCGACTTCACTAATTCCTGCCTTTGAGCTTCCAGCATTGTGGGGTGGCCAAGGCGTTGGCTTGGTTCCTGGGGTAAGTCCTTACACCCAGGCTGTAACCATCCCTAGGGGACAGACTGGCAGCCCAGAACAGCTGGAGCACAAAGCATGCTGGGGTCAGGTCCCTTCCCTTCCCGGGCCACTGCTCGGGGAGGCCCTTTCACTGTCCCTGCAAGCCTGGGGAATCCCCATTGCACAGAGCATTCAGCAGTGGGGATCCAGCTGGTTGTGGGCTGCTGGGGTGGCGTAGAGAGGCCAGGGCACAGCCCCGTAGGGGTCAAGGTTCCTGATAGGAAATGTAAGCGAAGTGCCCCACCCACCAGCCCCTCCTGGTGACACTGGCTGTTCTGTCTGCCTAGGTGACGGAGCAGCAGAAGATCGAGAACTACCAGCACATCCTGCAGGTGGACAGGCAGAGCCTGGTGCCCACCGCTGAAGTGATCGAATGTCCCATCTGCTTTGTGACCCTGCAGCCTGGAAAGGGGGTGACCCTGCGGGAGTGCCTGCACTCCTTCTGCAGGTGGGTCGGCCCTAACCCTGGCCCCTCTCCCGCCCAGCCGGCCTGCGCCCGGGAGCCCTGGCCCTTTTCCCGCCCAGCCGGCCGGCCTCTGCCCCGGTTCCTCTCCTGTCTGGCTTCTGCCCTGGGAGCCCCGGCCCCTCTCCTGCCCAGCCGGCCTGCGCCCGGGAGGCCCGGTCCCTCTCCCAGCTGGCCTCCACCCCAGGATCCCTGGCCCCTCTCCTGCCTGGCCGGCCTGTGCCCAAGAGCCCCGGCCCCTCCCCTGTCTGGCATCTACCCTGGGAGCCTTACCTGCCTCAGACCCTCCTAGGCTTTGCCAGCTGGTTTGTGTCTCTGGGCTAGAGCGCCTGGTTGCACACCCCTGGCTGGAAGAGCTGCCCAGATGGGCTGCGCTAAGACAGACAGAGCGGTCCCCCGGCTCACTTGCCAACAGGGAGGGCGTCGGCAGGGTGCCCCATAGGGCCAAAGATCAGTAGCCCGACAGGGAACTAGCCTGGTTGAATCATGTTAACAGGCTATGCTCCTGCATTAGCCTTCTTAGCCTGGCCCAGCTGTGGAGGGTGGATGGCCTGGCCTCAAAAATCTGAGGATCCCATCAGCTGTGGGGAGCAGGGGCTCTGCCAGACAGGAACCACTAGCAGGAAGGGGCGGGGGGGGGAGGGAAAAGCAGTGTGTCAGAGCCCCTCCCCCACCGTGGTGTTCATCACATCTTAACCCACCCCCGCGGGGCCCAGTCACGGGTGGGATTGTGCTCCTGCTCGACCCAAAGGCTTCAAACCGGCCCCTGAGTAGGAGAAAACGGGACTGGAGACGATGTGCTGGGCGCTGACGGGCCCCCGTGCCGGAGCAGGGATACAATCATCACCACCCTGTTCCATCCTCTCTGCTACTCCCCTTCCAAGCCCTCAGCCCTGCTCGTTTATGGGCACCTGCCATCAATTAGCCACCTACCTGCAGGGGCTTTACCTCCAGCCCTGTGCCCTGCAGCCACTAACCCTCTGCATGACAAGCCCCCACCCAGAGCGATTGGAGATGGGCAGGCACCAGTGGCTGTGCTGCCCAGCCAAGGGCTTCGAGTCCCTGGCAGCCAGTGCCCCTCGATCAGCTGGGAGCTTGTTTCAGTGCAGCAGGGACCTGGTGAGGGAGAGCTAGGCGCCCCCTCCAGTGCTGTGTACCGCTCAGACATGTGTACAAAGGGAAGCTGATTGCTGGGGTGCCAGATTACGTACAAGTCCGTCCCCTTTGGGGTGCCAGTCTGCAGGGAGGTGGGAAGGAGCCAATCGCTGTTGGAATCCCCTCTGTACCCACCCAGGGGCTGGGGGCCCCAGGCACGCTGCATACGCTCCCCTGGGTTATCCATGGGCCCGGGCTGCTGGGGGGATTCTGCTCCTTACCTCAGGCCTGGCCCCTAGGTGACCCCATCCAGCTCAGTCTTCAAGCAGCTTGTGCCTTGCTTGTGTCTCCTCTGACCCCGGCTCCCTCCAGGGACTGTCTGAAGGGGACGATCCTATACAGCCTGGAGCCGGAGGTGCCCTGCCCGTACATCGACGAGAAGTACTCCTGCACGGGACAGCTGCTGGAGCGTGAGATCAAAGCGGTAGGGGCCAGGAGCAGGAGGGGACAGAGCCAGGGGTGGGGTGGGAGCTGCAGGCACAGCTGAGGCGGGATACAACCCAGGAAAGCGAGGGCATGCCAGCGTGCCCGGGTCCTGTAGGCTGGGCTAGGGCAGGGAACTGCGGCTATTCTGTGAGGGAGCAGGGGGAGGCGGGGCAGGGAGAAGAGGATGGGGCTGTTATCAGTCACTGCCAGGGGACGGGCGAGTGTCTCGGTGCTGATGGAGAGGGTTGGGTCCCACTCACAGCTCCTGAGTGCTGCCGAATACCAGCGCTTCCTGGACCTGGGCGTCTCCCTCGCCGAGAACCGCAGCCGGTCCAGCTACCACTGCAAGACCACGGATTGCCGGGGCTGGTGCATCTTCGAGGATGACGTGAACGAGTTTGCCTGCCCCGTGTGCCAGAAGGTGAACTGCCTGCTCTGCAAGGTGAGATGCCCCCTGTCTCCGCAGCTTCCCAGGGAGAGAGGCCAGGACGGGTGGAGGGGAGTTCAGAGACCGCTGGGCTCTGCGAAGCCAGGTGCCATGGGGCATGGCTGTATTCGGGGAAGGGGTGGGGGGATCCAGCTTTAAAGCAGCTGGTGGCCTTTGAGCTGTGTGTGGCAGCAGTGACCAAGCTCACGAGCCCTGCATGGCTGCCCCGGAACTGGCGAAGGCCGTGCCCGGGGCTTTAGACGCGCCCGGAAGGAGCGGCCTGTTTAAGGCACATCCATGTAGCCCTAGAGCCATGGCGTCACATGCTGCCTGCCATGGTCCCTCCATGCAAGGGACAGAGGTAGATGGAAAAGAGAACAGCATTCCTAGAGGTGCTAACAGGGCCAGTGTGAACCTGCGCCGTGGCCTTCGCTCTGCCAACAGCAGATCATCGCCACGGCCCTGTGCTCCATCCTTCTCCTGGAGCCAGCCCCAGCTCACTCTGCTCTTCCCCTCAACTCTGGCCACTTATCCTTGCCCCACAAAAGAGGCTTGGAATGTGTATGCCGGCCCTGCCCTGCAGTGTGAGGGGGTGCCCCGGGGTCCCACTCCATCTCCGTGACCCAGGGTTGTGTTGGAGGAGATGTTCCCCTACGCACAGTTGCTGTAGCTGGGGGGAGGGGACGTGTGTTGGCCCCTGAGCCGGGGAGCAGCAGCTGGGACACACGGCCAGGCAGCAGCACCTGCTCCAGGAGGCGTGTTAGAGCCTGGTGAACTAGCAGGGTGCTCTCCCCAGGCCATTCACGAGAACATGAACTGCAAGGAGTATCAGGATGACCTCAAGCTCCGGGCTCAGAACGACCAGGCTGCCAGGCAGACCACGGAGATGCTGACGGTAAGAGCCCGCTCTGGCCTGGCCCTTTTGTGGGCAGAGCGAGGCGGGGGGGAGAGGGGGCAGGATCGGAAGGGGCTGCAGCCTAGCACTGAACACACAGCCAGGGCGGCACAGCAGATTTAATGTAAAGAGGCGTGTGACCATTCTCAGCCCTCGCTGCGGCTTTAGGAAATGCACTGACCAGGCGGATGGGGAGGGGGTTGTAGAGAGTGGGAGATAAGGGAACGCCCCAGCTTCCCCCTGCCAGACCAGGGGAATGTGACTGCACCAAGAGGGGCTCGCATGCCTCGGCTCCTGGGCATTCTGCTACCCGGTGGGTGCAATGGTCCCAAATGAGGGAGTATCGGCTTTAGAGAGCCAGGTAAAGCGACCAGTCCACTGATTCGGAGCTCGGGGCAGCCCAGCCGCTAGCCCCATCAGCTGCAAAGGGCAAATCCCAGTGAGTGTCTTAGGTGGCACTGCTGGGGATCCAGATAGGAATGGGAAGCCGGGGCCATCAGCTCCTCCGTGCACGTTAGCATTGCCCTCCTCTCCTTTCAGCTGATGGTCCAGAGGGGGGAGGCCATGCACTGTCCCACCTGTAAGATCGTTGTCCAGAAGAAGGACGGCTGTGACTGGATCTGCTGCACTGTCTGTCACACGGAGATCTGCTGGGTGACCAAGGGGCCGCGCTGGGGGCCAGCGGTAGGTTGGGAGCATGAACCAGCATGTGCGACTGTAGGTTCGACCTGGGGAATCCTGCCATTCTGCGGAGTCGCTTGCCCCAGAATTAAAAGAACCTGCCCAACACAAGCCCCTGTGGCTCTGCCTTCTCAAGTCTGCAAACAGCCCAACCCACATGCTCGGAGGCATGAACCACTGGACGCAGCTGGGCTGTTCCCTCTGATTGTGACCGTTTAAATGACTGCCTGCTGCTGCACACAGCTGGCCCTCGGGGATGCTGGAGTGGCTGGCAGGGGTGCAGAGCCAGCCAGGGCTGTCGCGGCTCACAGCTCAGCTGGCTGCAGAAGTGGGGAGTTACTTCCAGTGCTCCATTACACTTTCCTTCCTCTCCCACCTCACAACGGGGAGGAAAATGTGATTTCCTCCCCCCCGCCCAGTGCCAAGAGCCTTGCCTGCCTCCAGCCTGCCCAAAACTCAGCCCTGCCAGCAGCCTAGCGCGCATGCCTGGCTCCCGGTCCCACGTCCTGACAGCCTCTTACCCCTCCCTCCACCGCCTGCATGTGCATCATCTCTCCTCTGCTTTCCTCTCCCCAGGGCCCGGGCGATACCAACGGTGGCTGCCGCTGCAGGCTGAACGGCGCTCCTTGCCATTCCCAGTGTCACAACTGCCACTGAGCACGCAGAAGCCAAGAGGAAGGAGGGGGCGGCCACTCCCTACACAGTGCTCCAGCCCCGTTGGGGGGGCACACAGCTCCCCTCGAGCCCCTGGCTACTCTCCCCACCATGCCTTCACAGCCTGGGGCCAGGCCTGTCGGTTTCTGGCTCCGAGCCCACCACAGACTCATGTGTCCGCTCGGGGAAGGACTGCGCAGGTCAGCAGCCATGGGGCGAGCGGAGCGTTCCTGTTTCATGGATTGAAGGCGGACTTAGGAGAAGGCTGGGTGCTGGCTGCCCCGTGCTGGGAACCCAGTGCCCTGTGAAAGTTGAGGGGGCCCTACCTCACAAGCTGCTCCCTTCGCGTGTCCTGCTGCAGCAGCTGTGGAGAAAATGACCGGGCTGGGTTGGAACAGCAGGCTGGGAACATTCGGGCTCCTCTAGTTCATGGAGGTGGCAGGTACATTAGTGGCCCTCAGGCTTGAAGGAGCCCTTCCTCATCCCTTAGGGAAAACATGGCTCCCCCTCGCCTACAGGTCAGCATTGCAGCCTGAGCCATTTTGCCAGCCACAGGGAAAAGGGTTTTTGGTGCCCCGCATCTCCCAAGTGGCCAAGCAGAAAAAAGGGCCAGCCCCTCAGAGAGGAGCAAAACTGCTGAGCAGTGCAGGGGACTGCCTGGGCCACCACCCCTCCACCTGGCTCCAGTTACAGCCTCCAGCCTGCCCGCTGCAGCCCATTGGCACGTCTCAGTCAGCTGGTGCAGCAGGCCCCAGCCCAGCTGGCGTGCACGGTCCGCTCCAGGGCACTGGGGACAGACCGGGCAGTGGTGGGTTCTTAGCAGGCAGCTTTCGTTGCCCTCCACCTGGATTTACAATAAAGAGCCGCAACTTTTGGTCCGGAAGTTTGTGTGTCGACCCAGTGGTGCTGTGCCTGGTTATGCAGATATGGCATCTCCTGAGAGGCAGGTTTAGCCTGCCCCTCGCACATCAGTGGGTTGTAGACGTAACTGCCAAACTAGGCCAAATGATTCCTGCTGGGGAGGGGCTGGTGTCTGTCAGCAACTGGTCTCACTGTGAGAGAATCTCCACACAAGCTGCCAAGTCAGCATCACTCCATTGCCGTCCATGCTGATTTATCCCACCCGAGGAGCCAGTCCCCTGGCTAATGCCTGAGCCGTGCACGAGACCCCCCTGGGCTCCTGGCTATTCATGGGTAAATCCCACTTCCCTTTACGAGATCTGGCTACCTGGCTTTTCCTTCGGGGTGAAGTCCGACTCCCTTCCTGGCCTATGCTGCTGGATAGCAGAACGCTGGTAACTGGCTGCTGTTGTGCAGGGGTGGGCTGCGTTTCACCAGCGGATGAAGTGATACGTCCAGTTTAACATTCCTACAACATAAACTTTAAACGTGATTATGAAAATTACTTCTTGAGAGGAAGTCACAGCATGCTAAAAATAGCACCAGCCCACTCTAGCAAACCGCGTGCCTGAAACACGTCATGGAGCTGGGGAGAGGCACACCAGCAGTGTCTGCAGGGCTGCTAATGAACTCAAACCCAGCTGTAGATGGTGCTGCCAGGCTGGGTTCAATGGGAGACGACTGGATGGGTGCCACACAGCCTCCTTTCGAGGTGGCTAAGAGTGACATGGGCAACATGACCAGCATCTCTGACCATGGCACTAAGTGCATTGCAGCCTCTCCCTGCTCGCCCGCCCATTCTCTCGTCCTTTCACCTTCCTCAGTGGCAAAGAGGGAACTAGAAACAATGAAGCCCCTTGAGCAGCGACACATCTGAGTCAGTGGCAGAGCTGGAAACAGAACCACAGGGTGACTCACTCACTGCACAGCACGACCAGCTCCAGGCTCGGGAGAGACAGAAAAGCCAATTTTGCACGGCCCAAGCTGCAAGCCACGTGCCTGGGCAGCCAGAAGACCTGCTAGCCCCGAGGCGCACTCACACGGGGGGAGGTATGTGGTAACCGGGTATTGCTGTTTATTTTACACAGTTCTGTACAAAACAGCATTTACATGTGTATACAAGTCTTTATACAGAGTAAACCACCTGAAGAGAACAGTGTCTTTCAGCAGGGGCCATCCTGGCCTCCTCCATGAAGGCGTGAAAAGAGAATGAAACAGTTACGTTCCTGGAGAGCCTGAGTGCAGGCCAAGCGCACCAGCTGTCAGTCTCCAGGGACCCTCAGCCATGGAAGGGTACTAAAGGCTCAGTAACCCCTCCAGGCGGGAATGGGCTGGAAACCGCTCCGAGCGTATAAGGCAGGGGATCACACTTAGGTGTGGGAGGTGTCTGACTGGATCCCCAAGCTGTGGCGTTTTGATCTGTACACGCAAGGGGAAATCACACAGTGCACACAACACTCAGCGCCACAACAGGTCCCTGCAATGGCACCTTGTCGCTTCACTAGGCGGCACAGATGTTTGTGTTTTTCCCTCAGGAGTCAGTAACATCAAGTCTCCTCTTCCCTGTGTGTGGTGGAGGACCAGAGAGCTGGAACAGGCACTCATAGCCTGTAACTGAAGCATGGACAGAGGGTTTCGACCTTTAACAAAGATCTTTCCTGCCAGCTGCATCTGGTGTTGGAGCTAGAGGTGTTAACAGGAAAAACAATGTTAAAAGCCGACTATACCTCTCAACTGCTCAGTATTTGCTCCTCGATACCTGTGATATCAATCCTACCAGCTCTCTAGTTGCCCAGCATCTGATAAGCAAAGCAGGTGAGACAAGATCTGAATTTCTAATGTTAAAAAAACAGCAGAAAGATTTTCAGATGGGGGAGGGAACTCCTTTCCAACTGCCTTTACACAACAGAAAAGGCCAACCCCCCCCCACTGTATTTTAATTGTACAGGTCAGGCAGGATTTGCAGAAGCCCCTGAATTAGGAGCATAAACCCCACTGAATGGGACTTGTACTTTCAACTCACCTCAGTGCTTTGGAAAAATCCTCCCACACACTCCCTCTTCTTAATTCCCTGCCTGGGCCTACCACAAACCACACCAAGTTAAACAAGGGCCAAACACTGCAGAAAGGCTCATCTCTCTTGGGAGCTATATAGGAAGGTATCTTCTGTCTCAATGAGATCAACTGCAAGCATCCAAGGTGCCCCGGATGGAACCAGGGTCCTGGGTTTGTATTTAGGCAAGGAAGGTAAACCATGTGAGAAAATAACTCCCGGGGAGAGCGCCCTCCTCTTCTAGAAGTTTT